TAATCAATTTCCAAATTTAGATATCAAAATTTAATAAAATGAATTTTTGAATTTTAAATTGAATTAGAATTAAATAAAATGATGTCATTTAAGATTGAAACTTTAATTTATTTTGAGAATGGAACTAATATGCACTTTTCTCATATGTGTATGTATGTATATATATATGGAGATGAGAATGAGATTGCTCTGAAGTAGAACATGCATAAAAAACTTTGGTTTGCAGTTGGTTAATATTCCATCATTACAGGTAGCAAGTGAGAGGTCTTCTTCGAAGAATAGAGGAAGTCAGGGTTTTGGAGAATGCAGGACATCTAAGAGGATTGGTACGAGGACTGTTACCTCACCAAGAAAAAAGGACCTGAAATGTAAAAGGCCGTTAACTGTCCCCTAGCTTTTAGTCAAGTTTCATAGGAATTTGAGTTCAGGTGGTGTTCAAATTTAAATTATTACTAGTAATTAGTTTCTATGTATACATCATTTATAATTGTATTGGAGCATTGTAGATTCGAGTATTAGGGAGATAGAGAAGCTTGAAAGTTCTGGTGAACAATTTTGGTAAGCCATGGTGGTGATGAAGGGGGATTCGGACTTCCAAGTTAGAGTCTTCTTGGTTGGACCAGTAATTGGTGAGTGGATGAGGACTATCGGTAGCTAATTAAGCTTTCATTCTCCCCCTAGAAGTTGGAAATATAGTTGGGATTTTCCAATAGCTTTAGTCACTTGTTAGGATAATATTTCCAGTTAGATAGTTCTTCATTTGTCCTTATAGTGATTGCTTTCACAATTCTTAGTAGAAGTTGACCTTCTTTACTTAATTGTTCATGTAATACATAGACAAAATCTTATACTAATCTCTCTGTTTAACTTTAATTGTCTTACTTTTAAATTTGAAGAAAGTTTACAATATCTCAATTATAACACTTAGTCTGTATCCTAAACCAATATTTTTTCCATCCTTTCTTCCTTCTTTCTTTAGGCTGTTTAGGGTTTAATCTTTCTTAATTCACATTTTTTTCCCTTCCAGTTCAGAGAGAGGAGATGACGCTAGTCTCATAAGAATTTTTTCATTGTCTAATTCTTACAATATGTTTCATTGTTTGATTCTTATAATATCAAAATTGAGATCTTTTTATCATCTGTACTATCAGCATCAATTAATGAAAGAAAGATTTTATAATTCTTCACTTTGAAATTCACTTGGGGGAGGGTGAGGCAAAGCTAAACTTGGAGATGCATTATCACAAATTGTAAATTTGAATGCTTTGGCAATCTGTAAATGTATAGATAAAGTGGGAATCTGCAATTTGCTCTTCATTTTTTTTATCGATCCCTCAAGACTTTGTGTTGACAGTGCCTTCGGAACCTAGACCGTCGCCTTTGTCATATACCATCTTTCTTCCTCTAGTTTTCCTAAACACCACCCCACCGTCTTCATCGCTTTTCAAATCCATCGTTTTTACCTTCCCAAATTCTACAGCGGATATTAATTGATGCTAGTCATTATAAGAAGAAGAGGTTTCGAGTGCAATCTCTCATAAAATGAAAGTAAAAGCTAGAAAAAAAAAAAAAAAGGAAAAAATGAAAGGATTTTTTTAATATGTACACAAAACACCACCCCACCGTCTTCATCGCTTTTCAAAT